GATCGGATAAGGGTTACCTTAAACGAGGCAGTTGGCTCTATATTTTTCATAAAATAAGAAATGTGAATAATTATTTGTAATAACATTAATGATTTATGGCTTTTGTACAAGAGAATGTATTGCATTCATATTGCAAAAAAAAAAAGAAAAAAAAAAGGAGTAAATATAGGAATAAAAATCATATTATCGATAAAAAAAAAGTATTTATTTCGTCTACATTAAATTAAAATTTTTTGCATCACGTATAAATTATATATTTTTAATTATATTAATAATACTTTTCGTTCAAACTATTTTTTTACAATATCTATTTTCAATAAAGAAAGTAAGAAAAAAGATTTTTCAACTATACTTATTATTTCAAGTAAATGATAAACGGCTTTGTATATTGAGCATAAATTTAATCCAATAAATTGTCATTAACGAAAGAAAAGGATTTTTTTATTTTTATGTACTGAATACACGAATATAACAGGCTTGGACGGACACGAGAAAGACGAATGTCTCGAAATTTCTGAAATAAATCAAATGAAATGTGAACGATTTTATTTAAAACATTTTTTAGATGTAATTGACATTTGTACTAATAAACAGTGAGAATTCGGATAATAGAATTATTAATTTAATATTATTCTACTCTCTTTTTTTACACTAGTAATTTATTATTTATTATTTATTTTGTATGTAATAGTCTTATTACAGACATAAATCTTCAATTAAATTAAGTGATTGTTTATATGTTTCAATGTTAATTGATAAATGAACGATTAAAACAATGGCTTTATTATTTATTTAAACATTATAATTACAAATTTTTTGTAATCAATCAAATAATCTATTACTTAAAGTATTTTTCGTCCCAATAGAAATATTACAACTTTAAGCAGTCATATAGCAGTCATCCATTATATTCTGAAATTCTTAGACATACGTATTAACAAATTAATAAGTCCTCTGTGCTGAAAATTAATGTTTATCCTAGTTAGGCAAATTTTTTCTTGAATTGTATATAATAATGCAATATCGTTATTCTACAAAATATAATCTAATTAATGTATATTTATTAAAATTTATAGTAAGTTTATATTACCTTCCAAAGTTCATTATATGAAGCAAACATCATATTTTTCATTATGTAGCTTATAAATTATGATCAACATTATATATTACAAAAAAAATGTCATGTTTTTCTACATAATCGAATGAAAATTCCGTAAATTAAACTTTTTTGTATCAGCAGTCATAAAAGTACTCCTTTGTATTCAGAGTTGAAAATCAAAGTTTCATTTCTCAAAATCATATGTAATTCAACCACAATTATAATTATACATATTTAGAATTATATTTTTTATATGTTCTATATGAGGTAATTAAACCTGTAAATTCATCGGATTATATTTTTATTTACTTTTATTACTAACATTGAAACAAAAATGAAAATCAGAATCTGAATAATATACGGTACTTTGGTCTTCCTCGTCTAGAGGATAAAACAAATTTTCTCCTCGGCATTTTTATACTTTATTTTTCATATTTCATGGGACTCTAATTTTTTACACTCATTTCATCGTAACAATTATGTTTGATTCTTATAAAAGTAAAAGCACTTTAACGATTGTTCGATGAATCGTTATCACAATCAAAAATCTATCATCACTAGTTGCATAAATTATACTGAATACATATATAATATAATATACAAGTAAACAAATTAATTAATAATAAAGCGTTGCAATTATTTTAATTAAAGATTTTCTTAAATCTTAAATATATAAGCATATTTTAATGTTCGCGACAAATATATTGATTAATAAAAATGATAATTATAAGATATAAAATGCCATTTTCGCTGTGTATCTTTTCAAATATTTTCAGGTGATAGTGGATGCGATAAGTTGGTCATTGAAGTATCGACGACCGCTTAAATCAACCATCACGAATCACGATGATCAAATAATGCATTTATATGATATAATGCAGGCCGTTATGACGTCATATCCATTGTCCCTCGATGAACTCACAAACGGCAAAAGTAGAAATCGACGATTAAACAAGCGAAGTGATAAATAAATGGAAAAAAAAACTAGCAAAGATGGTGTAAGGAGCGGCAATCTCACGACAAAAATTGAAAAAACATTGGTGAGAAACGTTGAAAGCAACCGCTGCTTAAAGAAATAATGTTCACTTTGTTAAACGTCGTTACGCGTAGTTCAACTTCTTCCTCTTTTTCGTCTTCGTCTTCTTCTTCTTCTTCTTCTTCTTCTTCTTCTTCTTCTTCTTCTTCTTCTTCTTCTTCTTCTTCTTCTTCTTCTTCTTCTTCTTCTTCTTCTTCTTCTTCTTCTTCTTCTTCTTCTTCTTCTTCTTCTTCTTCTTCTTCTTCTTCTTCTTCTTCTTCTTCTTCTTCTTCTTCTTCTTCTTCTTCTTCTTCTTCTTCTTCTTCTTCTTCTTCTTCTTCTTCTTCTTCTTCTTCTTCTTCTTCTTCTTCTTCTTCTTCTTCTTCTTCTTCTTCTTCTTCTTCTTCTTCTTCTTCTTCTTCTTCTTCTTCTTCTTCTTCTTCTTCTTCTTCTTCTTCTTCTTCTTCTTCTTCTTCTTCTTCTTCTTCTTCTTCTTCTTCTTCTTCTTCTTCTTCTTCTTCTTCTTCTTCTTCTTCTTCTTCTTCTTCTTCTTCTTCTTCTTCTTCTTCTTCTTCTTCTTCTTCTTCTTCTTCTTCTTCTTCTTCTTCTTCTTCTTCTTCTTCTTCTTCTTCTTCTTCTTCTTCTTCTTCTTCTTCTTCTTCTTCTTCTTCTTCTTCTTCTTCTTCTTCTTCTTCTTCTTCTTCTTCTTCTTCTTCTTCTTCTTCTTCTTCTTCTTCTTCTTCTTCTTCTTCTTCTTCTTCTTCTTCTTCTTCTTCTTCTTCTTCTTCTTCTTCTTCTTCTTCTTCTTCTTCTTCTTCTTCTTCTTCTTCTTCTTCTTCTTCTTCGAGGGGAGGAAAAAAGGAGCCGCCTATCGTTACCTCCCGTCGAGGCGTCGCGACGTCAAGAAATAGGCAGGATCTACGTTATTTCAAGCTGATCGACATTGCCAACTCCCACGCAGCAAACTTCTACATTCTGAATAAATCATTTCGATGATGTTGACCATCGCGTCAAAAAGTTCCACTCGACTGGATTGCAACGAGTGCAACGAGAGCAACGAGAGCAATTGAAAAGTGCAATAGCAGTTAATCGTGTCAAACATGCGTTTTTTTTATTTATTATTTATTTATTATTTCACATTGCAGTGTATCGAATGCCAATAGTATTTAATTTTCCTAATAACTAGCAATAATATCGTTAGATGCAAACGCGGCATTTTATATGTAATTTAATAATTGCTGATCAATGATTCCCTCGTATGACCATTACTTAGTGCATGGATTCGATTTACATAATACTTTGTCTAAAGCACTGACTGTGTATTACTGTAGGGGCGGGGAAGTTTTATTTATTTTTTTTCTTTTTTTTTTTTCTTTTTTTTTTCTTTTTTGCTCTTTGAAACTACGACATTTACATTAAATGGCGCAATTAATTTTATATGAACTGCCACTACTCGCTTTTTCTTTCTTTGCTATATCTCTTCTTTAACTATTATTATCGATAATCTCGCTACCTACGCACATCTAATATTTAATGTATCGTTTGCATTATATGTCACGTAAATTTATATTTAGCGTACTTATTTCGGTTTTTATTTGCCTTGATGGCAAAGTATATTCATTATTTCTGCAGCTACGACGATAAGAAAACGCTAACTAGTGCAATTTGTTATATTCGTAGATATTGTAATATGAATTTAGCGTATAATAATTTCAATTTATTTTCAATTTTCTAGAAAACTATTCTACTGAAATAATAAAAAGTATGTATTTATACTAGTGATTAATCGTAATAATTATAATTTTTTCTTTTAAAAGTTGATTATTAAATTTATGATTTACAAATTATATATGTAACTGTAATAAAAATTAATAAACACTATAAAAAATAATAAATAGTTAAAAATATTTTTACCAAACTTATGTTATAATATTAAACAACTTTTCTATCATTTTTTCAATGAGATAAACAATAAAGAGATTTTTAGAAATTTGCTGTATACTTTATATGGTTTTTCTGTAAGTCAGGCTTTAATTAACCTGCTTATTCACAATGAATTTGAATATTTTTGTGACTTTAAAAATTTACAAAATGGATATTTGATTTATTTACTAATAAAATAATAAAATTCCAATGGAATGTTAGTAAATTGTTCGAACGATGGTACATGCTAATTAAAATTATAAAAGTACGACAAAATTGTCGATCATTGTATTTAAAAGAATTATATAATTTTTGTTAAATTTTTGTTTTGCGATACATATCGATAAATTCCACGTTCCATCATATTAATCGATAAAGTTTTCATTCATTGTAATCTTTAGCTTGAGATTTAATCTATTTTTGTAAAAATTGGGGATCAATCCGAACAACAATAGGCACAAGATAAATATGTTTTCACAAATTTTAGACAAAAACGATAGAGAAAATATGCACAAATTTCAAACAGAAAAGATAATGAAAATATGCACAAATTTTAGTAAAAAAAATAGAAACGAAACTACGGTAAGAGTATTTATAAATTAATTTTAAGAGTATGAAGACGCTGAAATTCGTAATTTCACTGACTGACTTGATTTGTTATTATAATTATTTCTACTTTTTTACAAGTTTTTATCAAAATACCATTAAAGTCCGTAAAGTTTCAAACGTTGACCAGTGGTGAAAAATATTTTAATAAAATATTTAATAGCTGACTGGTTTTATTAATTATTATGGATACGCATAAGGCACACGTGCGAAACACGTCTATTAAAAAGTTTTCGTAGAATCTTCTGCTTACGCGCGCACGCGTGTTTGCGCGTGTGTGTTTGGATATGCACACACGTATAGAAATGCGGTTTTAACTGCCTTTACTTTTAACTTTGAGGGAAACGAAGGGAAATAATGACACTTTACTTACGTTGTGGTACTGTAGCTAAGCGTATATTAAATATGAAAAGATTGTTCAAGTGAGTTAAATTCCACCGATCGCCATTCCAATATCTTTACACGCAATTTGTCTCTGTCTAGATTTTGCAAGGACATAAGCAAGATAACGGAGTCGTTTTTTATGGTCCAGTTGCTCAGCAGCACCTACAACTTGTCGATACTCTTGTACGCGATAATCACGGTAAGTAGAGCATGTCGAACTTTCCGTAGTCCTTGTTGACGTGGAAGGAGGACCTTAGGAAGGGCCCCAATTAATAAACTCACCCAACAATGCTAGGACAATCAGAACAATTTCCAGCTGCTGCCCGTCGTTGGCCTACAAACTCTCCAACTTTTCTCCTGTCACTGGATATCCGAGATCCTCAGGTCCGAAGTAAGTTCGCGCGTTATGTTTTCAATGTTTCGTGGACATTCGTTTCTTCCACCCCTTCTTCCTCACTCAATCTCTCTTCTCGCTTTCTTTGGCATTCTGCATTCATTAAAAAGATCGTCGCCAACGAGGGAGTATTTTCGAGCAAATGTTTGATCTTGCAATGTATGATCTCGAAAATCCTCGAAAATATTTTGACCCTTAGAATATAGATTACAATTTTGAGTTAACTTAATCAACAAAGCTGAAATGGACGGAGTGTATTTTTTTTTATATATTTTTGGTATGGAAATTTTTGTTATAGTAATAAATACTTAAATATAAAAAAAAAATCGGAAATTTTCGACATTTTCATCTACATAATGAATTTGTTATTGGCCATGTATTTTGTAAATCCTTCCGAAACTCATTTACCCACACATGTGAAATACTCGTGTGCCGTTTATCTGGATATGTGAACTACAATGTTTGTCACGCTGATAATTATTATTGTTAAATAATTATTAACAAGCAATGAACAATGATCATTGTAAATAGGAGAACGCCAAATTTTGCTATTTTATTTCTATACTTTTGGATCGTTTGCTTCGATGATTTAATTAATATCTTCGAGCTGTCATAGTTTCACGTAAAAATGTTAATATAATAGTTCAGTAAAATATCTATTCGAATGATATAGCGTAAGTATTATATTATTTTTACGATAAGTAATTATAATATACATTCGCATAAATAATGAGATAGGGAGAACCCATAAATGTGGATATATTTAAGTCATTTTACTTTCTTTCTATACTTGATGATGTATAATATTCTTTTGCTTATAACTTTAATTTTATAAAAATCATATAGCAATACATATTATCAAATATACAAATTTTTATTTGTCTTATATATCTTTCATGTAGTGACTTTAAAAGAAACCAACTGATTATATTAATTCAAGATGATAATAATTAGAGAGAAATGAAACGGATAACGTTGTCTGTTATAAAATTATATAGAATGCATTATTCATTTTTCTATTCAACAAAATCAGTTTTACTTACTTTTAATAATTTGTATAGCTGAGCCGACATTTATCTTTTAATACATCAACAATAATTTTACGTTATATTGCTTTTATATGCAACTTATCATTTACTATCTAATGTAATATCAACAAAAATTATATAAAAAATCAATACTTCATAAAATAAAATTGTGGACGTCATGTTTCTAAAAGAATTGTTTTCCAATCTACGTTTCATTTTTGTAATTATTCTCCGTGTATATAAATCTAGAATATAATAAAAATATGCATGAAATGATTAATCGCAATGTCTAAGTAACAATAAATGGTTAATATTGTTTTCGATTTATGATTTTGTAGAAAATTCTTGTAACTCGGGACTCGTCTACGTCACTCAACTTGCATAGAAATTCAACGCACTGGATAAAGAAAAAAAATTCAGAAGTTGATTTGCACATGGAAAAGTATGTTTAAAAAAAATATATAAATGTGGGTAAAAATATTTTTTCACGCTATTACTTTATAATAAATAGAATGATGAAAAGATCTTGATTTTATTATAATGATTAATAGGGTATAGTAAATAGCAATTCAGAAGGAAGATTAAAAAAAAGGAACATACAGATTTATGGAGCATCAATTATAATTAGGTAATAATTTATGTACGATGACTATTATTGCGACATTGATATTGCCATAAACTAATATCCATCGGCCATTTTCCATAATTAACATTTAATTTCTCGAGGTATTTACATAAGAATTATGTAAGTAGATTTCGAAAAACTTAGATCTCGGTGTTGTTTACGTTAGCACGTATGGACGTTTTCGAATAGAGAATTCGCTTTTTAGATTATTAATTATAATGTCTCAACGACTCAAGCCACTCTCGCCCACAAACATCCACAAATAATAATCAAGCGAGAAGGCAAAACATTGTAATCGGAGATTGAATTGCTTATTCAATTCCATAAGATTTTATCAATCGCTAAGAGAATATTTACATTTTATATATTATATTCTGTAATTTTTTCATTCTAGATACAACATGAATGACAAATTGAGTGACAACAAACCCTTAAATTTCCATCGAGAATGTTGTTTTAATATATTCTTATTAAAAATTAATGGTTTATACCCAATTGATGGATTTTTTGGAAATTGTTTCTTCAATGTCATCTTGGTAATTCTGGTAAACATATCTCATCTTTTTATAATAACAATGGATGCAGTTGATGTAGTGTACGATACGCAAATTGGGATAATAGATATTGAAGTAATAGCTGGTTGCATTGGATTATCAGGCTTATATGTGCGATTTGTCATATTTTGCTATAGAAGGGCAGAAGTTTTCGCATTATTTAAAGAATCGGAGAAACTTTGGAATCAATTGAAGGAATCTGAAAAATGTATAGTAAGGTATGATAATAAACTTAATGGTCTTTTATCAAAATTAAATTCAGGATTTTTACTTATAATGTTTCTCTTTCTGATAAACTGAACAATCGAACATTAGAAACTATAAATAATAAACTAAGGCGAAGATGATGTTGATATTTTTCTCAGATTTCTTGAATTTAAAGATTCGTGATGTATTTTTTGTCATTTATTGTCTACTTTGGTGTCGGCTCGGTCAGGATAACGAAAATTTCGTCTCGACAACCCAACTAAAAGCGCTGCTAATAGCGAAAGCGCTTTTTTTTTCTTTTTTTTCTTTTCTTTTTTTTTTTTTACAAACGCATCGTTACTGCCATTTGACAGTTTTGACAACACTTTTCCCTTTCCCGAGTTGGTAACCGAGAGGCGTCAATGAAAGATTGACCATTACATGGTGATGTAATGGACCTGACTTTACGAATCTTGTAATAAATAATTGATTTTATATAACTCGATTGACACGATGATTTTATGTTTATCATTAATTTTTAATTTCTGTGCGATCGCGCGTAGAAACGCGGGCTTATGTTATTCAAATGATTTGTCATGAAATGTTATAAATATTATTTCTTCTTTCAAAGTAGCCTTTTTAATATATATAAACTCCGTTATATTATGTTAAGATATAAACTTTTAACCTTTTGTCACAGAGAAATCTGATATTATAAACAAATTCAGACAGCTTTCAGAGCTAATCGTGTACTTTCTGCGTAATATTAGAAATCAATTGTTATAGACATATTTTATGATTGAAATAGATAAAAAAAAAAAAAAAAAAAACACACACACACACACAAGTGTCCTTCGTTATACTAATTTGAACAAATTGTTTTTCATCACATTTAGCAAGTACATGCGCTTCATGAAGACATTAACTCGCATATATTTGATCAGCTATATACTTGCTTTATTAATGTACGTTGCAACAAACATAATGCTTGCGTCAAGTATTTCGATAAATGGAATTCCTCACAAGCATTTAATGTTTGGCAAAACTGTATACGTAAGAAAACCCTTTTTTGAAATTATATCGGTGTTGGAAATATTATCTGCTGGTGTTATGACAACAAGTTCAGGATACGACATGGCAGCGCCATTTATAATTACAATGGCTGCCGGATACTTCAAAACACTCTTCTATCGATACGAAAATGCTCAAAAGCAACACTCCTTTAACAACGATGACCAAATGTTTAAAGATATCATAGCATGTATAATCTATCATCAAAAGATCGATAGGTACGTTGCAGATAATTTTGGATTAATAATTTTCTATGATTTACGCATGCCCGAGCGACATAATTGTTTAAACATAATTAATGGCGTTAATTTTGGTCATATGCTATTATTCAATTCTACATGTTATGTATTATATTACGATGTTTGTCATTTTTACAGATGATGGATTGCACGTTTAAACATCTAAAATTTGTTTTTAAAATACATTTTATTCTATTGAAATTTATCCATATGTTATTTAAGCAATATAACTTTTCTTCTTCAGATTCTGTACAAATATCAACAAATTTACGAAATCACTATTCCTTATACAATTGATAAGTAGTACGTACAACTTGTCGATCCTCCTTTTGGTAGTAATTTTGGTATGTATTTCAAATATTTATTACAAACAATGCACATTGAATAAATATTTCTCTTTTCTTTTCTTTTTTCTCTTACCTAAAACAGAATCCGAAAGAAGATTTAAAAAATGGACCCATAATTATTGTGCAAGCCTTGCAATTTTTTTTATGTCACTGGACATCGGATGTTCTTTTGTCCGAGGTAAGTCCTTAAAATTATGCTTACATAGGATGTTAAAGCAAGATTACTCGAGATATTCTATAAAAATATCAATAGACTGACAATTTTTTTTTTTTTTTTTTTACGAATAAATGCAAGATCGTTGGTAATCTTTATACAGCCACCATTGCATTTTTAATATTATCTCTTTGACAATTACCGTTCAACTTACTGACTACTCTTTAATAGATCGTACGAATTCTTAGACTAAAACGAAAGAAAAATAAATTGTTTCTATTTATAAAAATATATATTAAATAAATAAGCTTAATAAATGAAAAAAAACTCAAAAAAAAAACAAAAAACAAAAAAAAAAAAAAGAATGAAAGAAAGACGAATTTGCTTTAAAGACTTTACATACCAATTTAAGTTTGTTTTAATGTTGAATTTAATTAATTATAATTATAATTATAATGTAGAGTTTAGATATACGGAAATCTGTATACATGATACCATCGGTTAATCGGAAAGATACGAAATTATCAAAATTAATACAAATATTGCTAATGAAGTTGCAAAATCCTGTACAATTGACAGCGGGAGGATTTATCAACCTATCGGTGGAGTGTTTTGGAAATGTACGTCCTTTATCACGATATTTTAATAGTTTAATATCGTTCGTTGTATAATGAGAGGAAATAATTACTTTCAGATGATGTCAAGTGTCGTGTCCTTTTTTTTAGTAATTCACAGTTTTACAAACCATTGATGCCTTTAGCAAAATATATTGTATGTTATAAATGAATTTAGTAAACAATAAATAATTAATTATTTACGTAGTGCAATCTATGTGATAATTATTGATGATAATTTTATGGAAAAATTATCATTTGTAATTTAATAATAAATTTTGAGTATTCAAAGATACGACTAAGCAATGAAAATCATTTAAAAATTGCATATTCTAATGTATTAGTAACGATAATAAAAGCATTATTTTCTTGTTAGGTAAATTCGTATAACGAAAAGTAAAATCCGATATTTTTCGTATTATCGTACCATCTCGAATACACATTTAATCCATGTGCACTTTCACCGTAAGTACATAAATATAGTCAACGACAAATTTATAGAAATAATAACTAATAACATAACTAAAAGTTCATCTTACATGTGGTACTTTGTATTCTGTAATATTCAATTGAAAATTAATAACTCGGAGAATAAGTGCAGGTATCTTCAGAATTGAATGTTGATTTGAATATTTATATTTGGATTACTTTCGGAGTCACGACGTACACAAAGCAAACCCATACAAATGTCTATAATTAGAAAATGTACAGAATATTTTTAATCCTATATATATATATTTTTTTAAAAGATTCCATAATGCTTTATATTAATTGTAGTTTTATCGGAATTTGTAGATTCAGAAATTCAAATTTCAAGTATTTTCTAATTGTGTAAGCTTTTTTTTTTCTTTTTTTTTTTTTAAATTTTTCATTCGCTACGATATAAGGATTGCAAAGTTTGTATTTCATCGGAGTCCCGCCTTAATTTGATAATTATTTTTTCGAAAATTCAATAATATACATTTACATCAAGTCACTATTCGTAAGAGGTAACCCTATAATTAATATGTTACTTCCTAATTAATAAAGTAATAATAATTCGTAATTGTATTAATATTCAATATTGCAATAAAAAAATTAAATAACACTCATATATACACAAAATTAACGATAACAAATACTATACGCGAACTGAGTGCATAAAGACTGAAACATTTGAAAATATTAATAGCATTTCTTACTTTACCCAATAATATTCGTTCGTCATATCATCACTGCCATAGAGCTCGTCAAGAAGCATTGATTGAAGAAATTTCTTACTTAATAGTACCATGGATAAGCAAATGTACGATTAATCAGATCTGAACATATTAGAAACAGCATATTGTAGTAAAAAATATATTAACCCTTAGACAGTTAGTATTCAAATTCATGAAATTCCTTTTAAAAATTTTACAATCAGAGGAGACTGAAATTTTTATTGAAAAGTTTGGTTTATCTAAAAATATCATACGGAAAAGCATCATTTTTATTTCTATTACGAGAATATTGAAGCAGATATTTTTATATTGTTTATAATTATTATACAAAAAAAAAAAAAAAAAAAAAAAAAAAAATTTTCGTTCTTTTCATAATTGTAATGACTATTTTCAGTATGTTACTCTTGTAAGTATATAGACACATTCGTAAATTAAAAGCAAAAAGGGAAATTGTCGAAGAACGCTTTTAAAGTGCAGATATATTTGAATTTGATATTTAATGTATATTACTAATATTATAATATCACCTATACTTACCCATTCAAAAATGTCGAATTAGTAGTGGACTGATACTCAATTTTGGCATTTTAACATCTGTAAGACACGAGTCACTTTCAACACAATGAATTAAACAACATTTTTAATATTGCTCTAATTAATTACATCATCAACGTCTATCTACGAATCACTAATACATGCTCAACGATTAATACAATAATCTTTAATTTAAGCTTACGTTATTACTTATTTATTATGTTATTTATAATAATATTTTTAAATATCGAAATTATTGATATAGAGTTTGATACGAATGGGAGTGTGACAAAGTGAAAAATTACGTATATTCGATATACATGAGTGCTTTATTCATCTCGATTTACAATCCAAATGAATTTACACAACATTATTTAAGTTTAAATTATTAAAATATTACTTTATTTCAGTATTTTATAAGCATATATTAATTACATCATTACATATTGCATGCAAAACAGAACATGTGCTGGTAAGCATCAAAAGACCGTGTCACATTGATTTATATATTTTATCTTTTCAATTGTAAAATGTTGAACATGAGTCTTAATTTTTCAATAAATGCTGTTATTTGACATTTTTTGACTATTAATAATTAAAGCAGCCATATTTGTATTTGAAATGAATGTGTGCAAAATGTGTTCGCGTGTAGGACAGATAAACGAAATTGGCAATCCATTTTTCCGTTTATTATGTCTGTCTTTAGACTGCGCCTGCGACTTTGAATATACGCGATCTTCATCCTTCCGATCAGTCAATATCCTTTAATAAATTTAATTCTAAATGGCAAAAGGTAATGTTATAGCTTGGCTTTGATAATTAAACAAATTTTCACTGTCTGTGTATATTGAATATAATGTAAAAATCACATTAATTACTGTGATATAGCAATTTAATTAAACATTTTATCTAAATAATATATTAAAGTTTTAATGCAATAAATAAACGTGCTTCGACAATTTTATATCTAAATTGATTATTGAGTTTGCTTAATAATCTAGAGAATTATATTACAATACACAATTACATTGGTGGAGAACGAGTGAGAAGGTAATGATTACACGAGATAAGGTTCGCACAATAAAATTTATTTTTATTAGAAACATTTTATTAAGCTTCAAATGTCAAAAATGTTACACACTCTCTAAATTAGAATGAGCGTCATTTCATTAAAAGAAATTGAAATTTCTTATTCGAGCACAGCAATAATAATATAACACGTAAAGCTTATCCCCCCACCCCCCACCCCCGCCAGTAATATTTTTTGCGGAAACAATTTATGAACCAAAATCTATCGGACTTATAGCAAAGAATATTTATTAAGAATATAAAACAATCTTATATAGCTTGTGAATAATAGAACATTTTGTATTTTGTGTTAAATAATTTATTGACGAGTACTAGTGCCTTTAGTTTTAAATTTTAATTTTAAAATCCAAAACGTATGAATGATGTACCGCTATCCTTATACATCCTAATACGCTAGCGTATTCCTTTTTTTTTTCTTGCTTTTTCTTCTTACCAAGACTTTGTTTAGCGATATTGGATGCATTGGACATTGGATACATGTTGCCATCTTCGTCGTTCGTTACATTAGTTAGAATACATTCTTAATAATAAAATTAATTTTTTTTAATTATTTAAAATTTAAACTGCTTAGACTTTGCTGCTTCATATAAAATTATGCGGTTTTATGAATAATTTATTTGCGCATGCGCACAATGTATAGCACCTCTAGGGATCTGGACGGCATTCAATTTTCTATTAATATTATTGAAACTTATAAATATTTTCTATATTTAACAACGTGACAATTTTAGTTGAGCTATGAGTAAATTTTTTTAACTTTCAATGAGTACAATCGATGGCAGTTTTAACATTCATCGGCATTGCAAATTTGTAACTAGGAGATCTTCTATTGTAATTTTATTTAAAAAATAAATGTATGGAATTTTAATGCAACAATATCGTTAAATTGGATAAATTAGGATTCGTTAATTTGTTATGAATTTGTTATGAAATTTGCACCTTCGTCGATACGACGAAACGCTTTAGAAACTATCGGGTTGAATCTTATTTCATCGATAAAGAACAGTTGCTCCTTATTCTTTCATTTACAAACTTTCAGCGGCTGCGGTAGAATAACTATGGTGTGAAATGGAAATTCGCCAACAACTGTTTTTCATGAGTGTTGGTAGCCTTTTTTATTAGTAACCTTCGTTAATTTTGAGTATTGATTATCCTTACTCCATTTGAAATTAGCAAATCGCTGAGTCAGTATAGGTTAGTGCAACTAATAATTATAACGGTTTGAAAATTATTTTAAATTAAAGAATTAGTATTTTTCTTCTATATATATTCTGTACTTTTTTAATTTATTAATTTGGTACTTATAGCTTGCATTATCATTTGTTATTATGTTGTTGGATTAATTTTTAAATTAGGTTAAGTGTTTAAACTGAGAGACAATGTGTATAGTGTGAACATGTTCTCATTTTCCTAAAAATTCCATTTTTAGTTGCACATCATAAAATGGAAGAATTATTGAAGCACTTACCAAAAATTAAAATACCTGGGCCTAATAATAAAATTTACAAAGATGAATGTGTTTTTTCTTTTGATACTTTGGTAAATATGTTTTAAAAATGATCGTTGATATTAATTTTAAAATAATTATCCCATAATAATTTTGATATTACATTCTTACTCTTTTAGCTTTCCCCATCAGGTTTGTACGTAAGTTTAACAAGTTTCTTAGGATTTGGAGTTGATCATGTACTTAAATACTTTGAGTGTACTGGAAATGCAGTATTTTTACATATTAAGGCTATAAAACATGAAGTTAGTGGTAAAATTTTTATTTCTATACATTTTAGTTGTTAAGAAGTTGTAAGAGGAAAATATTTTTAACATTATATAGGTAAAAGTAGATAAATCGGAAGATGGTCCTGATAAGAAAATTACACGTTTAGCTATTGGAACACCAGGTGGTTTTAACCCAGATGCACAAAAATATATTTATGAAGAACAGTATCAAATAGTAATATTGCCAGATTATACAACTTATTCGTATCCTAATGATGATTTACCTCAAAAAGTACGAGTTTACTTTTGTAATTACATATTGATGTAATTCAGAAATTATTATTTGTGTTTTTGCAATAGGTCAAAGACTCGGTTCAGGCAATATTAGAAGCAGAATCCGCTTTAAAAATTGCAGAGAAAGAAGCGTTAAGTAATACATGGGATGGAGAGGCAAGAAGTATAACAAAGTGCGTTTATTTAATTTTCTACTTTACTATTATAGAAAATGTAATAATATAACCTTATTTCATTCTTAATAATAAGAACATTTTGTGCAGAATGATGCAATTATTACAATTTTACACTTTTAATAGAATCTTATTTGTAATATTATATTAGGCACAAATTTATTAAAAATATATCTAATCCATAGTTTTCTAATTTTGCCCAGATGTATATAAAAAATATTATTGAATGCAAATATTGCTGCAATTTTATACATCTTTCTTTTATTATATTTAATTTATTTCAAAATCAATTATAAATATTAACAGTATGAATAAATAGTATATATTATTTTTAATAGGCATATAGATCTTCCGCAATTAAATAATGGAAAAAAAATACCACCGAGCGGTTGGAAGTGCGAAAAGTGTGATCTTACAACAAATTTATGGTTAAATTTAACAGATGGCTCAATTTTATGCGGAAGAAAGTTTTATGATGGAACTGGTGGCAATGATCACGCTGTAGCTCACTTCCAAAATACTGGATACCCATTGACTGTAAAATTGGGTACTATAGCTAGAGACGGAAAAGCCGACATTTACTCATACGATGAGGATGATATGGTAGAGGATCCTAATTTAGCAGCCCATTTAGCCCATTGGGGTATTAATTTTGATCACATGGAGAAAACAGAAAAATCTATGATTGAGCTGGAATTGGAACTCAATCAAAAGTTTGGGGAATGGATTGCAATGCAAGAAGGAACCAATAAATTGACACCTATTTATGGTCCTGGTTACACAGGACTTATAAATTTAGGAAACTCTTGTTATATGAATAGTGTTATGCAAATGTGCTTTATAATTCCAGACTTTATCGAACGGTTTGTATAATTTAATTTTATTAATACACTGTATCGGGAAGTTCCCTTAATACGATTTAATATAATTACAGTACACTTAATTACAAATTGTTATTTCACTTGATTTAACTTTTTACACTGATTTTAGGTTTGTTAATAAGGCTGAAGACATTTTTCGTCAAAATATAAATGATCCTGCCAATGATTTTAGCGTTCAAATGTACGTTTAATAATATTTATATTTTTATTTAATTACAATTATATGTATAATTTTTGTTTAGTAATTATTAATTATATTTATCTTTTAATTAATCAGAATGATACATTAAAATATGAATTTTTTAAAATCTTTTTAGGGCAAAATTAGGTTTAGGTTTACTTTCTGGAAAATATTCACAACAACCAAAATCTAAAGTAGATGCTGACGATTCTCAAGGAATATCTCCAAGGATGTTCAAAAACTTAATAAGACGTGGTCATCCCGGTTTCATGTCCAATCGACAACAGGATGCACAAGAATTTATCTTGCATTTAATTAATATTTTAGATGTAATTACATTAATTTACTTTACATTAGTGGTGGATATAATTATTATATTAAATATTTATAAATGGAAAATAATTTCATCTATATTTTAGAGAAATAGTCAGGGTCAAACCAATCCCGCAGACTGCTTTAAATTTAAAGTTGAAGAACGTTATCAGTGCAGCTCTGGTAAAGTAAAGTACACTTACAGGCCAGAGTATTTACTACCGTTAACAATACCAATGGATATGGTAATTAATAAGGTACATAAATAGTAAAATAAATGGTGCCACATACATTTTTATGCTACAAAGATGTTACTAACATATTTTAATTATACAGGAGGAAGTTGATGCTTATGAAGCTGAAAAAAATAAATCCGAGGAAGGCAAAGCCAAATTAGATCCAAACCATGTTGTGAGACCACGAATAAAATTATCTTCTTGCTTAGAAACGCTTGCAAAAGTTGAAACTGTTGAACAGTTTTACAGTTCAGCTTTAAATGATAAAACAACTGCCACTAAGTATTTATGTTGTACTACTAATTAGCAATATTATGAAATTTGATTAAAGGTTAGAAATATTAATGAATTGTTTTAATCTAACAGGATTACGAGGTTGGCTTCGTTTCCCGATTTTCTTCTAATTCATTTAAAAAAATTTACCGTCAAGGAAGATTGGACGCCTGTCAAATTAGATGTTGCTATTGAAATGCCAGATCTGTTAGATTTAAAACTGTTACGTGGATATGGTTTACAACCAAGTGAAGAACTACTACCAGAAACCACTTCTGCTCCGCTTCCCGTTGTTTACGATCAAGCTCTTCTGAGTCAATTAGCAGAAATTGGTTTTCCTATTGAAGCTTGTAAAAGAGCGTTGTATTTTACGGAAAACCGTGGGTTAGAACCTGCTACGCAATGGTTAATGGAACATATCTCTGATCCTGAGTTTACATTACCTTTCGTTCCGCCCGGAATGGATGCAAAAACAGGTAAAATAATACATGTTGAATCGATTATAAATTAATTTTTATTGGAAATTTTTAAATTCTTATATAAACAAATCTATTTAATACATTTATTTGGTTTAGAGAATTTAAAACTGGTTTTTGATGATTTTCTAACACTTTAAATTAGATTTTAAAATTCGATAATACATTCAATATTTCAACTAACGAGCAAAAAAAAATTAAATCATTACTTCGAGGCTTGAATTTCAAAATACACCAAAACTTGAAAATATTACAAAGAATTTATTAAAAAAATTGTTTTTCGTACGGTAATTTACAACTTCATTTAGAATATGTATTTGGTTAGATTCTAGTGATTTTGTGCCAAATCAGGAAGCTTTAGAAATGGTAATGAGTATGGGTTTTACCAAAGAGCAATCGACCAAGGCCTTAAAAGCAACGAACAATAATTTGGAACGCGCAGCTGATTGGGTGTATAGTCATATAGCTGAGCTCGATACATTGGAAATGGAAGTTGATGCACAACCTGCAAAGCCTCAATACAAAGATGGAAATGACAGTAAGTTTGAAAATTTAACAATCCCGTTTTAAATAAGATTATATAATAAAATAATTTTTCTTCTTATAAACTAGAATATAAATTGGTGGGCTTTATTTCTCATATGGGTACATCGACAATGGTTGGACATTATGTATGTCATTTACTGAAAGATAGTCAGTGGATAATTTTTAATGATGAAAAAGTAAGTAAACTAAGAAATATTTGTCATTAATATAATTAATCAATAATAACTTTTTGTTTTTAAAGGTTTATTTATCGGAAAAACCACGAAAAGAATTAGGATATGTTTATTTATATCAGCGTTTGGATAAGTAGTCATAGTTTTATATAATACTTGTTTTTTATAAATAATTCTATGCTTTTTCTATAAATTAAATAAAAATAAATAATTCGATAAAAATGTAAAATTATTTTAAATTTACTTATTTTTTATAAATAATGTAAATATTTAAAAAAATGAATATAAAAATTTTAAAGTTATGTAAGATCGCTTTTATTTCATTATTTTTTAATGGCACAAATTTACAGTATATAATTCGAGAAATGTATTATTTATCATTTGCACCACCTCATAATTATAAATTAGTGAATTAATATAACATAAAAATATAATAATTTATTTAAGTACTTTTTGAGAAAGCATAAGCCACTTTCTAAAACACACACGCGCACGCACGCACACGCACACACACACATATATATATATATATATATATATATATACATACACACATATATGTGCGTGTGTGTATGCATTTTCCCAACAACATGAATGTACCCAGCCATTATCATTATTAATCTTGCTAAGTCTAATTTAAGTTACAAAATTGATTAAGATTTTTTTTATGGTATCTTTACCAATTATAATAGTTTAAGCGTAATATATCTTAATATTAAGAAGAAATTTTAATAAATAGTTGAATTAGAGCAATATAAAGTATCTTGTTCAACAAATTAAAATAATTTATTTGTCTTGTAATAAAATTTTTGACAATTTTCTATACAATAATTAATAAATGAAAATCTTGATTCAGATTATACTGATTTTAAGTTTTTCTTTTGTAAACATTGTACAAGACAAAAATTTCTACTTTATTTATCATTGTTTAAAGCATCTTTTAAAAATTCCTTATAAAAAAATATTTAAATTTATATTACAAAAAATAGAATATTTTTAAATATCTTCCGCCACTTGTTAACTCCCGGTCTTGGGTTTTAATCTATTATTGGCACTATCGTCGATAATTTCAACCATCGGTGGTAAAGCATAGACAATACTGTCTCCATCCTTTTTAAAAGTTGGCTCCATAACTTCTGGCATTACTTCAATTTGTAAAATTTTTCGTTTGTTTCCAAGCATACACTTGAATTTTACATCGACTGTGACTTGTAAATCAGACTTTCTTAATCTGCAAAACGTTAATGATTAAAGCGCATAATCGCAGACTATGTAATTCAATTAAAATTATAATTGCATGTACGCACTGATAGTATGCGTTGCTTAAAATTCCAACGAGTTCTCCAACCTTATCATCTTTCGTTATTATAGAGGCAATAAAGTCATTGCCATGATTAGAATGAATGATAATTAGCTGATCTTTTCCAGGAGAAACACTAAGGCCTGTAATTTCTGCAATGTTCATAACTTTCTTCAAATTTTTAAACTTTAAATTTTCTAATTTATACAGAGCCTGCTCCGTAACAACCATGACCCGATCCGCTTGTTTATTAAATCTAACGGATAAGAATAAATTAATTAAAACCCTCATCGGGATGGATAAAGTAAAAAATTTGACATATAATTACTTATTTGTCTTCTTTATGAAGGCACTGAATAATATTGTTTTAAAATGATCAGCATTTCTGAGATTGTTCATTGACATATTGTAAACATCATTGTGGGAATTTTCATTGAATTGTGAAAGGTAGTTGCCTTCCCATCTTCTATCTTGTCCGTAATGTTGACGTTTCGAACGTAATACTGATGCCGCCGACATCTGAGGATAAGCAATTTTTTTTTTTTAAGTAAATTAATATTTTCAAATATAATTATTATCGATCAATTACATCGGATATTATTATTTGTATAATGATAAAATTGAATTGGATTTCAGAGTAAAAGCTCGTATATGAAGTATCGAGTTAAAAAAGACTATTCTTCCAGGGTTTATAAAATTCAGTAAGTAGGCTTTTTAATATTTAGGGAGTAAAGTGAGTTGCCAAAACAATGTTTGAAATTAATTGATTGCGATAAAATACTCGGATTTTATAAAATTTACAATCGAGTTCTTCTCGTCAATTTAATCAATTAAACTGTCACAATATATAATAATTACAAAAATTATTTTAAAATTATACTTGCGCAATATTTATTTACTTTATTATCAATTCTTTTACGCGTTGTTTTTAAATAAGATACAAGTATGAATGGATAATTGCTAGATATTAATTATTTTGGCCAATTTATAAACGATTGATTTACGTGGTAGAACTCAAATGGACAAATAAGAAATATTATATCAGCTTGACTGTTAAATAACTCATTTCAACCTCTTAACAAATGCTAGATATACAAAAACCTGTTCGAATAAACATTATATCAATGATTCTAAAAGCGAGTCGTAAAATTCTTAATTTGATTATTTATAATGATTTTTGTTTGTAAATACACGGTTTTCCATCCGCATTTTGATTTGTAATGTACACATATCAATAAATACGAACATGAAATTTGTCAATTTGTTAAATTTTTCAATTCTATCTCGAGATTGTTTAAAAATTTCTATCGCATCTTATATACATCCAAAAATTGAATATTAATGCCATCAATAAGAATTTTATTATGTATCTTACTATTTATTAATTTTTACAATGGAAAAAAAAAGAAAAAAAAGAAAAAACCCCCCCCCCCCCCCCCAACCGCAAAGGAGCACACACACACAATACTCATAGGACATTATTTTGGAAGATTTTCAAAGAATACTAAGTTTTTTTAAATATTCCGTAATTATTGTTTTACATTACCTTTAAACGTAATTGCGGCCAATCGTCTCTGGGTATTCTTCTCAAAATCATCCAACTGTACCATCTCGCGTACATTATTTTCAATAAAGGTACGACCGATTTAACTGCGTAATTCTCTTTCGGCCAAGGTAAACGTTTACCGTAGTCGCGCATGTTTTTTGCATCTTTAAAAGTATCTTTCAGCTCATTTACGTAAATTCGCCTTTTATATCGACGATAATGTTGTACTATAATGTAGGCAGCATAGAGCTTTCTAAAATATCTGCGAGCCATGAATCCTCGAGCCATTTTTTGAATTAAAATGACTATGTCAGGGATGAGGTTGCTTCGAGCCTATAAAACAATATAATTCGTTGGTCAACACCAAATTGAGTAATTTTACATTCATGAAAAAATTGTACTTCCTACATGCAAATTTTATAATATAGAATTTGTAAATTTGTATTACATTTACGTTTGTCGATATAAAAAAAAATAAAATGTTAATTGCGTCAAAGTATCAGCGATTATCGGTCCTCTTTTGTAATAATTCAGGCATTTTCATTCATAAAATTCATTTTCTATATTTAAATCTTACCTCGAAGTCTCTCATGATCGTTTCCTTTATTTGTAGGATTGTAATATATTATTTTTAAGAATCCACTCATCAAATCGCTATGATTTTATTTTATTACTTTTTGAATGACTTTTTTCAATGACCCTGAAAAAGATTAGTCAAGCTAATAGGATAGTATAAGAACACATTATTTTTGTTAACTAAAATAAGCATTATAATTGAAAGATATAATTTTATTATATGCAATATTATTATTTAGACTGTGCATAAGAGTTGGAAATAAACAAATGAAAATGTTTAGTCTAATTAACATGCATTAATAGATAGATGTGAGATGAATTTTTTAAAAAGTTTTTAACATTCATTTTTAGCCAGTCATTCGTCAGAAAAGCAAACATAAATTATATTACAATAGATTATTTATACTTAGATTTTCATCGATTTTTAAAGCAACTTTAATCAAAATGAATTAATAATACTAACAAATTAATGAGGATATAGTGTTTTGAATCAATTGTTATATATTTTGATTTTGTAATCGCTGATACATTTGGCGCAATCTGACTTATAGATGTATTAAAAAAAGAAAGAAAAAAAAAAGAAAAAAACGAATGGAAATGTTTGGATTAGAACTAAAAATATTATTTTGCCCAATCAATATTTAATTTTATTTATAGGTCTTATCGAAACTTAAAATATTATTATCAACGTTAATTAATTCCAAACATGTTAAAGCATATTAAACTAAATACCTTTTCAAGGGCAAAGAGCGTACGTGGAGATCGAATAAAAATTTTGGTGTGTCCATACTGCACATCATTTGAAAAACCTTTTTCATCCATCATCATTTTCACTCCATCCTTGTCACTTCCGCCTCTATAATTCGGCCAAGTATATTGCGATATCATTTTATATCTGAAATATAAAAATACGCACGTGATTATGAACAATAATAATCATGAACGAAGGCTTTACCTTTTTAAGAATTTATCGTAACGTTGTCTGTAGGCAAAACCAGCTCGCCTGACCAATATATTTTCTACGAGACCTAAATATCGAACTTGATGCATCCCTCTTGCCTCGTCAAAAACAACTGGAGATTTGACTTCGTTAGGTTTAATACATCTGACATAGAATGGTTCTTTATTCGTAAGATTTTTTATTAGAGCTACCATCGAATTTCGAAAAAGATTTCCTGCTGTTAGCGGACGTTTTGTTGTCTACAAATACAAATACAAATACAAATACACACACACACACACACACACATATATATATAAAGTAAAGAAAAATTTATGAATCTGCTATACCTTCGTGATGTCCTGAGCACCTTCGGGCCACATACTTTTAATTATAGAATTTTTACTTTTGTATAATAAGCGTTTGAAATCCTGAAATAACGTATCTTTATTTTTATCTAAAAAACCATTAATATTATACACAACATCTCCAGCATAATGTTTTATTCTAAATTGTGTTTTATGCTCTAATTCTTTATCTGTTGGTTTTAATTGACGAGATGTATAATGCTTATGATCTATTAATTTTTTATCCATAGCTTCGAGGAGCATCTAAAAATATATTAAGAGTAAATAAGAATAAGATTTAGTTGTCGAAGTAATAATATCCCTCAATGATGAATTGAAACAACTTACTCTGTCCGTCACCTTACCAACGTTAAGGCAAGCCTCGTCCATAATGGAAAGAATTCCTTTATGATTTTGTTCAACGAGATCACAAATCACTTGATTATTAAAATATTCTATGTTTTGCCACGCTATACCTTCCTTTTTGTATTCCTCTTGCTCTTGCTTTAATACCAATTCTAAAATGTATCATTAAGCAACGTTAAAATTTATAAACTATATTCTATATATATATATATATATATTTGAAATTTCTATTTACCAATAAATAATTGTTGTAATTTTTCATTGCAATAATTAATACAAAATTGTTCAAAACTGTTGGAGTCAAATATTTCAAATCCATAAATATCTAATACACCAATTAATGTCCTGTAACGTTTGCAAATATTATTTGAAGCAACGTTTATTGTACTATTTATTCGCGATACTATCCAAGTAAATAATCTATCATACACAGCCTATAATAATCCAAATAATTTTTTATATTACTTCATATATTATATATTATATGTTATGAATAAACAAATGTTAAAACTCGATAATACCTTGGCTAAAGCATCTCTGCCATACTCAGCTTCTACCAAAGTATGTGTTTTCTGCATAACTTCACCTCCAGCGGCAATAATCCTTTGAATCAGTGTTGCATTAAGTTCAGTTTGATTTACGGATAATAAATGAGCAGCATTGGTACATGCCTTGTCTCCGTTAATATTAACTTTGTCTTCATCGAGACTAAATGTAACATTACCCTAAATAATATAATTCGCTGTTAGACAATCTCAAAAATATATCTGAAAATTACTTTCCGAGTTCATTCAATAAATTCAATAATGCACGATGAATATAATTATAAAATAATTCCTTTCAAGTTAAAATAGATAAGCAAAAATTTTATACTTTGCACGTAGTTATTACATGTAAAAGATTTTTACCAAGTGCAAAACACCGGCAACAACATTCCAAATGGTTTGCGTTTCTATTTGCGTAAATCCTAGGGTCGCCATTGCATTCATAACAGCTTTATAATCGCTTTTATCGTTGGAACTCGTTTGATTATTGCTTGTACTATTTTTAACATAATTATAATTAGAAGGGTCTCTTATTAATCGCATTGCCTTTAAGTCCGTTTCATTACAACCATTAATAAGCTGAAAACAAAAACAAAAAAATCACTTACTTTTAACACTAAACATCATAAATCTATTTATAATCAATTAAAACAGAAGGTAATTATACAAATAAATAACAAAGTCAATTGGTGTTAAGTTTTGATTTCATAGTACCTGATAAAAACAATGGAAATTACGCTCGCCTTTTTGTTGATAAACAACCCTAGATTTTTCCAAAAGATAATTTGTGACGTCTCCACCGACGGGATCACCTTTAAAGTCGAAATTAATATCCATATATTTACCAAATCTTGAAGAATTATCATTTCGATTGGTTTTAGCATTTCCAAATGATTCCAATATAGAATTTGATTGAATCAGTATATTTTTCACTCTGAAAACATATGTTTCTTCAGCTTCGTAAGCTTTATAAATTAAGTGAAAAGCGAATTTTCGCTACTGCATCGTGATTATGCTCTGCATTTATAAATTAATAAATCAAAGACTGCACACTACTATTTTTTAACATTGTTTCTTTAAATTCACTTCTATTCTATTTCAAAGTTCTATTCAATTTCAAAGTTTCAATGTGATGAGTCCACGTAGAGCATTCATAAATAACTCCTTACATTTTACTCATTCACACGAGCAATAACATTAAATATACGAAATATTTCATTCACGGTTTAACATTTTTCTTCTATTTTTCCATAATGAAAACTTAACGTTGATTCAAATTAAATTGCTGAAGTACCCGAGACTCAAAAATAACATTAATAAAGCACGGGAATATCTTCCATTAAAATTGGAGCATTACGGTTTCTATAGTATAACGGTTCTAGAGCCAACGATCCTAGCAATTTTCATATCAAAGAGATAAAAGGAGTACGCGAAAAAAGAAAAATACACGCGGTACTTCCAATAATGAGTATTAACTATCAGACAAATGAAAATAATTGCAATTCAGATAATAATCAATATTAGCCTAAATTCCTTATTATACTTGTTCGAAATAATAAGTGGTATTGTTGTAGTAGAATACGCCTGGGCGCTTAGCGAATCGTCTCCTTAACCCACGGTCTACCTCTAGCACGACGTCGTCAGCGTCACCGGGAGGCCTACCTCTCGATCTCCTGCTGGCCGTCCACGTTCGTCACAGCGGCGATGTACTTCATTATGATTTTGCTGGCCTCGGTTTTGCCCGAGCCCGACTCGCCGCTTATGACGATACACGTGTCTCGCCCCTGCTGTTTCATCTCCTTGTGCACGGCGTCGGCAATGGCGAATATATGTGGCGGATTCTCAAAGAGTTCCCTGTCTGAAACGGAATGACCCAACTTTATAAACACTTTATATACCTACTGTACTTGGTAATTCATTTCACTCCAATGAAACATGGTTTTCTATACGTTATACCAATGTTAAATGCTCTTCCATTGACAATTGATAAAGGGGTTGGGCGGGGGGAAGGGGAAGTTAGATGTTTGTTGAAAGAAAGTATTCAGCTATTCGTGTGCAACAGACTTGCAAGTCTACATGTTTCAGCTTTAAAACTTTAATCAAGATCATACAATTATTTTTCGTTTGGAAACGAAAGCATAATACATGTATTTTGAAAATATTGAAATAGAACTTATGAAAAGAAGCGTTAAAAATATACCAACGCGTATGAATTATTAAAAGTCTGGTTTTAAATTAAATATATATTCTTTGCGCTCAAAGTTACGACGAGGTTATTCTATGAAAACGAAAGAAGAAGAAAAAAAGTTAGAAAGTTCTACGACATATATATCGAAATATTATGGAAAATTAATAACAAAGTATAATGTTTGACAGAGTGTACTTATTTCTATAATTTATTATTCTCTTTGTTCGACTTTAAAATTCGTTATTTTTTTATAAAACTATATCAAGTTTATAAAAAAAATGGAGTGATATTTGCAATAATTGTCAGTAATTCAGTTGTTTCTCAATTGACGCGAGGTGGATGTGAATTGAATAATAATTAATCTAAAATTTAAACTTTTCAACAATTTTACATAATAATCCGATTTTATACGATTTTACAACGTTGCTTTACAGCACGCTTTTTACAACATACTTTCACTTTATTTTTTTTCATAATACTTTCAACTCTCTAAGTAATGACATCGAATATTTTAAATATCGTAATCTTACACATATCTGCTCAATTAGAATACAAAGTAATAAAATATGAACTCGTTAGCTTTATACAAATTTAAGTAAAATACATAATGTATAATAATAAAGGAAGCGCGAAAGTTTGTGGAATATTTTATCTAGAAATATATTGTAGGCGAAAAGTAAATTTTTGTCAAGTACCTTTATACTTCTCCACATACTCGGAACTATAAATGTTTGTACTTCGATATGGATTGACGCTGACGCATACTTCACCAATGTAAGTATAAATTTTTCCTCCATTAAATCTGCAAGAATAAAAGTAAAAAATTAATAATTGTTAATTAACGTATTTGTAATGCTTTCATTGAATTTTAACGTTAAGAACAGTGGATTGTATTTGCACGGTATTTTTATTTCGGGAGAAGGCCATTGTTGTATATTACTTATCTGAAAATTCAAATATAAGTAATAAAAAATCAACGATTGTTCATTAATGACTGGTTTTATCATTTTAATACAAAGAAGAGCGCAGCTTTAAAGACAATGCATCTTTTAAATAACAAGATGGTTAATTGCCGATAAGAATCCCCGCGTAAGTAATAAAATATTATTAGCTATTGCATAAGTATTCCTTTATTAATCTAACGATGGCAGAAATTCCGAATTTCGACTAAGAAATTAAAATATCAAGTACTTAATTGGTTCAATAGAAGAGTGATTTATTGGATGTATACCAGCAAGTAGTAAAGCTCTGACGTATAACGCATGCACGTTATCAGCAAAATATGAAATAATTATGTCATGACGTAGAAAGTTAATTAGAAATGATTAAATTAATTGCATTTGCATACGAGTAAATATAAATTTGAATTAAAATACAAAATTTGTATTTAAATGAATAGCTCTCGTTGTAATAGATGTCATCGATCGGGAAATTTTTTGTTAAAAAAAAAAAAAAAAAACCTACTACATACTCGTACGCATTGGCATGACATGTGTGAATGCATAAAGGATCGAACAATATTTAATTTTTAAGCGATTCATCGTCACGAGGTCTTATGCGATACTGCACATTGCTCAATGAAAATAGAAATTTTATCGAAAACCGCTGCCATAATCCCGTAAATATTACATATTCGGTTTTTTCACCACTCGGCAACAACAATAGTATTCACGAGAGCGCAACGGCATAAACGTCTCACCGTACCCCCCCCCCCCCACCCCCCCACCTTCCACTCGCACGGAAAATAACATGTCCAATTAAAAGCTAAAGACATGATGAAAAATGAAAATAAAATCACGCTAACGAATTGCGGAAGAACGAGAGTAGCGTCGAGGGCATTCAGAGTTCGTGACGCAGCCAGGCGACCATGAAAATGTAACTGAAATAGGAAGGACGCAGGCTCGCCGGTAAAAAAAAGAAAAAGAAAAAAAGAAACGGCTTTGGGAAAAAAGGCCGCGCCCGAAACGGATCTGTCTGACGATAAAAGCGACGCTCACCGCCCGCGACCTCCTATGCGCATGTGCCCGAGCAAAAGCCGCGAAAGCGACGCCCACGCGAAACGCGAGGATCTCAAAAAGCGAGAGTCGGCGTTGCCGCTGCCCCAGGATGCTCTGCGCGAGCATCTCCGCGTTGCTGGTGGGACGATTGTGTGGGTGGGAGTCGACGAGAGCATCCTGGAATTTCGCTCGTCGGCCAAGCGAGTCCATGCGAGGCGGGGGAGAGGGAGCCGAGGAATGAGAGAGAAATGCCTGGGGGAGCCGGGCGACTCCTCCACCTGACCCTCGTTACGCACCGGCTCTGGCCTACGGAACGAATGACAATGCGATAATTCTCCTATCTTTTTTCAAATGCCTAATTGCGGCTTCGATGGTAATGAAGGTTCCTCCAGCAATGCGTCTTAGATCGCTTCGGGCGTGTGTGTTGGTTCAGCTGGTGTAGCGAATATGGCGGCAAAATTCGACAAATGATTTTCGTCGGCACTGTGCTTGGTGCTTCGGTACAATTGTTCCGCAGAGCGAACTAACTAGTTGTATACAATCAATTGTACAGGCAAACTTTAAGTTGCAGGGATGAATGAAACGAGTTTCTTTCCCAATTGGCTTGTTGTTTGTATTTGCGGAATTTTGTGGTTGCGGTAAGCAAATTAGCTCGCTATATTTTTTTTTCTTTTTTTCTTTTTTTCTTTCTTTTTTTTTATCTCTTATTTTTATTTAGTTTTAATACCGACCTTGGCTTATTTTTGTGCAACGCGTGCCTCGGGTTGAACTTACCGAGGGCAATTTTTTTTCGTTGCGCTTTTTTCTCTCTTTGCTTGGCGGCGCAGAAGAGAGATGGCTTTTTGAGATTTAACAGTGAATTATTGCGGAGTTCTTAAAGCATCGGAGCCTCGCCGCATGACTTTCACTCGGAAATTTTTTTACGCGTCGCCGTGATGCGTCCCCCCCCCCCCCCCCAACACATCGCATACACATGATGTGGCATTTGTGCGTGGACAATGAATATGAGGAGAAAATTACATATGGCGACATAATAATTACAGAATTGAAGATGAAAAGTTTCACAGTGTATTGATGGGGCCTTTGTACTTTCTCATTAGGCTTCAATGGTAAGCACTACAATGTTAGACTAAATATAAAAATCAAATGTGAAACGGCACAAGCTCGTTTTAAAATGATCTTGCGACTTTGTGCAATGCGCAAAATTGTGAAATCTAATTGTTATTGAGTAAAAACATAACTGCGATAAAGGATCGTGCGAGCTTTCGTATTATAACTTAACAAGTCGCATGCCGCGTTAGCTTACCAGCTTCGGACTATCTTTTAGTTAGGAAAATTTTGATTATATAAATAATGTAATTTTGAAGAGATTTGAAGAATTTGAGGAAAGAATTTGAAATTGAAAGAAAGAACTACAATTGCACTATATTTATATTAAGAAAATTGCTTTAAAAAAAAATTCTCCATCCATGTCCGTAACGAGGCCGTTATTTATTTATTTTCATTGACGTCAATGCATGACACATTGTTTTAATTTAATTTATTTTTATAAAACGAAATGTATCATAATTTGCTGATAATGCGATTAGTGTATTTAAATCAATTAATCGATAACAAAACGTCATTACGTTCAGATGTTATCAAATTCAGTCATGTCTAGTGTTCTTTGAAAATTTTCATTTTATTATGGTCGCTTGGAAATAAGTAATACCCACACACGCGCTTTTTGTCTTTTCAAATAGTGAATAGCATTTTAGAGGTTTCAATTGTATAGCCAAGCTTGTATACATTCTAAGTCATACATAGTAAAATGGAGAATTACGACGACTACCGTATTATCGATATTATAATGTGATTTACATTTCGATAATTTTCAGCCTTTCGAAGCTGACGCGCTACTTAATCAATAATATATATCATGTAAGTAAGAAGCGAATTAAGTTAATATTTTAAGTTTTTCGCGATTTTTGCCGTATCATTTAATTCACATTTGTTTAGAAAGATTTGTTTGGTCGAAGAAGCGAGCGAAACTTTAATATAATCAAGAATGTTCATTACATCAAGCGTTTCAAGAAATAATGAAAAACTAATTATTCACAAACATTGAATAAGGCCTTGTTATAACCTCATTTTCTCGCATTGTTACTTGATAAGACATTTTCCTTTGATAAATATACAGTTTATATTGTTGAATCGTTTTTTCCTACTTTGATTCTATACTTTTACACATAAAGCGATATTGTATTTAACGAGTCGAAATTTAAGATAAGAGGTACTAGCAAATAATAAACAGAAATTGCTCAAATACTCGATTCTATTAATAATAACAATAACAACAACAATAATAATAATAATAATAATAATAATAATAATAATAATAATAATAATAATAATAATAATCATCATCATCATCATCATAAACATTTAGTATTATTAACGATCATTTTTAACGTCCTATTTTGTTTTATTATAAGGTCAATGTTCAGCTAAAAGTCCATAAAAATAAGCGCGAGCGCAAACACGACATTTATATCCTTTTTCTATTTCCAATCGTTACAATTACTACCGAAATTTTTCAAACTACACGTTAAAATCTAGTCGATATATGTATATGTATATATATATCAAATATACAACAGCAAGTGTTTTAACGTATACGTCGATTAATTTGTCGATTAATGTGTAATAGATGGCATCAATCAGTGGCTAAACTTGGTAATAAAAACAAATTGTACGAGTAGGAGAAACACTCCCTGCGTTTTATTCATAAATAATCACATTAACATGCCAAACTTAGCACTTTACCAGCGGCTACTCGTCACATCTTTACCATAAAAAAAAATAAAATAAAATAAAATAAAATAAAATAAATAAACGCGCCAAGTGCGCGCAACGTTAAAGATAATACGAGAGTTTAAGGTCTCCAAGTGCAGTTTCTTCCCCCACCCCCCTCCGCCGAACACAGTAGTCGCGGGCGATTATTCAAATGCCTCGGTTACGATTACGGGGCTTGTCCAACCGCTCCGGACGACAACGCGTTGGTATTTTCACCGCGCGAGTTGCGTAATTAATTGCCCCGAGTGATAGCGCCTGGAGGAGTCGAGGAGGCCTCGAGGATGGCGACGAGGGTTGCATTGCAAATGAATCGGAACCTCGTCGCCGGGAGAAGGCCAGTGCAATAATAGCGACATAATTGTTGAACGCGCGTTGAATGTCGACCGCAACGAGAGCACGCAAACGTGGAATCCAGCCGTGAGGCTTTATAGGCCGCGATCGATGGCATCGTGGCGATGATGCGAGCGAGAAAGCCGCACCGGCTGACATCATAGGTGAATTGCCAACGTGACCGACTCACTACAGGACGGAGGACGCGGACGAGGAGGTCGACCAATGCACCGCGGTATTCTCTGAAAATAGTCGACGATACGGACGTGGCGCGGCACGACCCGGAGTCAGCACCATTGTTTTCCTGGATGCGTGGGGAGTAGCGACGCCGTGAGGTCCGATAGTGCGATGCTCGAGCGTCGATTACGAGGATCAGCGAGCGTGCATCGATGGACCGATGGACCGCTTCGATTGGCTTGGTGAAGTCGTGATAGCTACGCCGACTCGGCCGCTTTGTTTCGCGCTCTCTCTCTCTCTCTCTCTCTCTCTTCCTGGTATTTCTATTCGATATAAAGCGCTTTATTCGGCGCCGAGAGACCGGCTGATTCATTTCTATTTCTAACCGCAAAATAATATTCGTAATCAAAGGTACGCGTACTTCACGGACTGAAAGGGAAAACCGTAAAAAGCGTTAATAACAGGAGGCCGTTACGACGAATAATAATAACATTTTTAAATCGTCGACGCTCCTGCTTCAGCATCACGCTGAATATTCTGAATAATCAAGGGAATCCTTGGACTAAACCAGCCGCATCGCTAAAATTTGAAGGGCAACGAGGTAGACAGGTGGCTCAACTTACTTCGTTCTTTTTTCATCTTCCTTTCTCTCTCTCTCTCTCTCTCTCTCTCTCTCTCTCTCTCTCTGTCTTTTTTTGTTCGGCCGAATCATCGAATGGGCCGTGACAATTTTGATCGCTAATCGAATGATGCCCATCATTGGGCCCAACGAGGCGCGAAGCGAGGTGTAAATTGTCTATCGTTGCGTTATACAGAGGAAAGAAAAGAAGACGAAAATGAAGAAAAAAAACAAAAACAAAAAAAGAAACAGAAAAAAAAAACATAGAAAAAAAGGCAATACTCGCACCCACAACAAAGCTACGCTTCTTCTTCGCACAATCGCTCGTTATTTGCTCAATCACGAACAATTTCCTATTATTAATCAGCGCTCCATTTCCATTAATTTATTGGCTTTTATATTTTGCCGCGGCACGTATTGTCGTAATGCCAGTAACGCTACGATGCGTGTGTGCGGTGTTTCGTTTGTGATCAAGGCGCCTTCGATTTCGTTTAAAACGATAATTCAGCTTTGCGCTTACCTAGGCTCGACTAAGTGAACGAGTGAATATTTCATTTAAGTCGAGTAAAACCGTTAGGCGAATGGGCCACGAATGGAGAAGCCTCGCTTGTCTATTTCATAGGTGCACGCGCGCTCTTTGTCGCTGGAATAATATGAAACGAAAAGCATTCGATAGATCGTCGAAATAAAATAAATTGAGAAAAACAAAAAAAATAATAAAGTGCATAGTTGTCGGCTTGAGATGGCGTTTTGCGAAAATGTCAGAAAGCGCCGAGCGAATCCGGGAGGGGGTGGGTGAGGGTTCCACTCAAGAGGAATGTTAATTGAAAAATAAAAGACTTGTTTGCCAATTGGTGTGACGTCATTGATCAACGACACGAAAGCGGTTATCGATAATAGTCAGGTGAACAATTCCGACACCTCAGAGGCTTTTCAGCGAACGGAGAGGAGCTTTTGTTTAACGGGCGAATGGATAAATCGTCGAAATGGCAAGCGCACAGCGCGACATCGAATGTTGATGACGCGAGAAGGACAAAGATTCTCGGCTCCCTCGGCTCCCAGATAAGACAAATCGGACATGGCAGTCCAGGCAGTCCAGGCAGTCCAGGCAGTCCAGGCAGTCGACAGACAGACAGATTGGCTGGAGCCCATCTATATTTGGCAGCTCGAGGGTGGACAAGTTGTGGTCGGACGGGGAGGGAGGGAGGGGGGGGGGGGAGGGGGGACATGGCGGAGGGGGGGGGGGGGGGGGGGGGGGAGGAGGAGGGACATATATATATAAAAACACCATCGATCGCTATCGAAGAACATTTCGATCGATAATGAGCAGCAGCGCGTCATTAACCCCCCAGCAGGGGCAACTCACAAAGTGCGCGTGAAAGGATCGAGCCGCGAATCAATAAGCCGTTGACATCAATCCCCATTGACACGAATATTACGAGTCGCGGCGTCCGGCGCGCACATAACCCTCAACCACCTGTCCGGCACGAGATGGAAAACAAACGCGCACGATGATGCTAAGCCACGCCCACGGGACCGCGCCAACCTGACGCGCATCGGCAGCCCTCGAGCACACGTGGACCGACTGTCCCGGGCGTTCTCTCGGCCTCTCCATCATCGCGCCGTCCTCCCCTGCTCTTTACCTGACTCGGAGATTCTCGACGACGCTCCCGTGACTGATTTCGTCCAGCAGCACAAAGTCCCCGATACCGACGTCCTCGTGCGCGACCATGGTGATGATGGTCGTCGTCGTCGTCGTCGTTGTCGGCGGGGCTGGATAGGGAGAGCGAAGGTGCGCGTTGACCCACGGCTAGAGAGGGAGCCGGAGTAGAGCCGCCGCGGCTTCCTGAGCACGACTGTTCTCACGCGCGCTCACGGGTCGGCTCCGTTCGTGTCTACTGACTTGCTCGACCGCCTCCTCGCGAGCGTCGCCCGCCTCTGACTCATGTGTGTGACACCACCGACACGGCTTTCCGCCTGCGCGCGCGTGCTACGAAGAAAACGATGGCTGCGATACGCGAGGCTCGCGCGGGCTAACCCCGACGTCGTCGTTACGGAATGTCGGCGGAACGATGCTCGCGCGCTCCGGCCACGGATAACTTGCATCTCTCTCTCTCTCTCTCTCTCTCTCTCTCTCTCTCTCTCACTCTTCAATTGGGTTGGCTCTGCGCGCGCCTGCGTCGTCGTACCTCTCTTAATCCACGATCTATCCGTCTGTCTCCGTCTCGCTTCGATTTCGCTCGAGGAAAGAGCGGATTTTTTGAGGAACAAGAGTTCGGAGAGAAAGCCATTATTGTGCATGTGAGAAGTACGCGGGAACGAAGTTGTGGATCTTTGAATGTGAATTTGCGACCGTCGGCTAGGCATTGAGAGCACGTAAAGAGAATCGGCACGTCTATTGGATAAATTGACAAGGGTACACGACTACGATCGCCTTATATCGATTGATGATTTAAGGAAAATTCGTTAAGTCTTTGGAGCCCAAGCGATAAAGGCGGCTCGCACATCTGTGTGAAATCGAGTCGACGCGAGCCACTCTCGTATTGACAAAAAATTTTTCACCCAAGCATCGTATAATAAACTCACACCGACCGCTAAATTGATAATAATACGGGGAGACCTGTCGATTAATCGGAAATTGACACTATGAGATTACGCTTTATTAATACGCGTAAGATTCCCGCGCGGAAGATGAGAGCTGACGGTAAGGACGGCGTCACGACCGTCAGTACTCAAAATGGAAAGGGAACGCACTTAAGAGTTTTGCGTACGGCGGGACAAGTAAAAAATACGTATGCGCGATACTCGTCATCGGCGTTGTACGATGGATGGTGGCCGGAGGCTGGGAGAGGGAGGAAAAGAGCGGGACGTCAGGATATTTGACACGAGCGATGCTGGAGGTTAGGCGATGCTGGGTATCGAGGATTTAGCTTTTGGATTCGGTGCTCCGCTGGATGACCCTCGACAACGAGTGCCTACACCTTCCGCATCGGATTAGATATTTCGCGTAGGGCTAAATGGGCTAATAGATCGAATTTTTCATGAGTCTTTGGCTTAAATTCGGTTTGAGTTTGGAGTTTTGTTAAACGCACTCTGCGAGTATGACGAAATCTTGAATGAGTCGAGTGACCGGCGCTATGATGATAGACATTGTGATATTGCCCAAGGCAAAGTGCAATAATAATGATATTATGTAGGTGATTTTTGTAATATTTAACAAAATTTTAATCCGGTCGAGTGGTTTGCGTGACTTTAAAAAGCTAATTTACTTCGAGACGAATTGTTTGCGTCTGTCTAAAGTCTAAAGTCCATGTGAAATAATAATTAACAAACGCGGTTAATTATTAATAACTTCAATTGTTTAATATTTCCGTGAAATATAACGGAGCAATTGGATAATTCCTTCTTTTTTTTTCTTTTTTTTTTTTTTTTTTATTATTTTATTTTATCAACCACTACTAACGAGTCTTAAACTCTTAACAACATATTATATGACATCAAAGTTAATCTAAAAATTAGATTTCTCGAGCATTTTATTAGATGAAGCTGATTCGACAGTTTATGATGCTACTCTGCAGCTACAATAAAATAGGCTTCTCGCCAATTTTTACAATAAAATGAATTCTTCAATGCCTAAATGTCATCAATTTGTCAATAAATTCACCCAAAAAAAAATAATAATAATCAATGAATTATGTTAGTTTTTGTAATGCCGGTAAAATTTATGATTATTCATTGCCAAAGTCGTTAAGCAATATATTTTTACGTACGTGCTCGAGCGTGCAAATACATTATTAGATGTTTAATTTTAATATTTATCGTACATTTGTTAATGTATTTGTGTAAAGCGAAGTTATAATGAAATATTACTATATATACTGCTATGGCACAGCTATTAAGTTTATAGGCGGCGATGTGTATAATGTTATTTTTGTTTTTAAGAGAAGAAAGTGATAATATCGTGTTTTAAATGTAAACGCCAATTTAGTCAATAATAATTTATATTTGATTATGTTTTTTTTTTTTTTTTTTTTTTTTTAAAAAAACCCCCTTTTTATTCGCACTTTATAAATATAATTACGCAATTATATTATCGTGACGTACAATTACTGAATAGCATTTAAAGGTAATAATATATATTTTTTTTAATTTTATTCTAACAATAATGACAGCGTCAATAGTGATTAAGAACGAAATGTTAAAGTCTTTAAACAATAGCTTTCTACATTACTTTAATTCCTTAAAACTTATAAATCCTATAAATAAGATCTCGCGATAAGTCATTTCGCGAGCAACCAATCAACACGTGGATCAACAGCTAATCAATAAAGTTAGAAACAAAATTAGAGAGAAAAAAACATGAGTATTCTTTATAGATAAATTCAAAAATCTAGGATATTATTTAAAATCGAATCGTTTGATAATACATGCATTTGCCAATATAAATTTCTGATAACTCGTGGTTCGATTCTACCCTGAGCCTGCATTAATTAACAAAATGTTATTCCAATTTGCCTCTATAATAAGGATCGCAAGCTCGCGCGCTAATTCTATTAATTATTAGCACTCATTAACCGACTCATTACTATACATTTATCAAAGTTTCGTATTAGTATTAAATGAAATCTCCCATGTGCATAATTACGTCGTCCTTGATCACATTAAAAAATTAACATTTAAACCTTTGGAGTTGAGATAAAGGAGATGAGTGTGTAGCTTGGCACTCGACAGCGGCATATCAAGGATCTCGATAACAATCTGCTAGTGACGTTGGTCAAAGCGGTCACTGGTGATCCAAGTACCCTTACGCCGCCTGGTTTACTACTTGAGTTCGACGACTTCGGCGTCGGATCGCGTTATACATGCCACATACGGCGAATAGTACTTGATGGTTTAAGCATACGTCGTGCAAGCGAGACAAAAAAATATCCGACTCTGTCACTCAAACGGTAACTTCATTTATTCAATCGAACTTCTTTAATTGGCGTATGTTCTATAAGTGGAGCAAAATCTAGTTAAACGATTACGAAAATCTTGTTACACCTAAGCGAAATGATGGCAACACGAATGCAAAGAAAGTTTATTTAAACTTATCAACATTAACTCGACAATCTTATTTCTGTTACTTATGTGTAAAGTGTTGATTTGTATTCTTATACAATTTGATATCTTTACTTACAATCTTGTGAAAATAAGGATATTATGTTTTTTTATTTTTTATTATTGTAATACTTACGAATTTTATTGCTGTAATACTTAAAAAATATAAAAAAAAAATACATGAAAATAAAAAGTGAAAAAATGAATAACTTAATGTAAATGGATAAATTTGATAAAGTCATTTAAATAATCGTTTTGTTGTTATCGGTATTTTGAATATATTATCGCTGAAAATAATAAATTTAGATACAAAAAAAAAAAAAAAAAAAAAAATGAAAGAAGCATTTGTTAAAAGCCATGACGTCTATTGATAAACTTATACTTAGAAGAAAAAAAAACATTATTCGATATTTATAAAGAAAACATCTATAAGTAAATGCTAATATCTCGGTCGGCACCACCGTGCAAAACGATTATAGAGATATTAGATGATATCGTAGTTCAGGCTATCATTTAAATATAAATGACAATGTAGAAATAATTATAAGATATCATATCGACAAGTAAAAACTAACCAAACACTCGATCGATATCGATCAATCAAAAAACTGTTACCAAAAGTTAATATCAATGATCGATTTTTAACGAGATTAGATCATGTACGTAGTCGTCAAAGAGATTCGTATGTCAATATTAGAAAACAACTACAAAACAACTACAAAACAACTACAAAACAACTACAAAACAACTACATTACTCGTGAAATTGATTAGCTTATAATGATGAAAAGCCTGCACGTTTGTTTTTAAAACAAAAACCAATATTTGCCGTACAATGCCTTTAACTGATTAATAAAGAAACTGACAGAATTATTTTTATTCCTATTGAAACGGTATAAATAGAACCGTGTCATTTGATATATTTTGCGACGAAAGATCTTCCCCTCTTATTTGAACATAAATGACGAAACGCTATTAATGAACATTAATTGTTGTGTCCTCACAAACGTTATTTCATTTTTCGTGTCATGGCGTAACAAGGTATAATTAATTTATGCATCTTTTAGCATTTAGTCGATTGGGATAGACGAATTCTTATAGACTTTATTACTAAAAATCAATTATTGATAATTTATGGACAATTATAAAATTTAAAAACCTTTATAATTTACAATACTTTATTCAATTTAAATTTGATTAATTTTACAATAGAGACACGACTTATGCCGATGGCTTCGTCATTTGGACACAATTTAATAAATACACAGAGGTAGCTGACATTGTTTTCTATTATTTTTGTATACATTTTTTTCTAGCCCAACATCAGCACATTACGTATTTATATTTTTCATGTAATTATTTCACAATGATAAGCAGGACAGTGACTTTTCTATCAAAGGATTCCTAATTTTCATCATTTACAATGACTGCTCACAACTCTTCGTACATAATTTTTAAGAATTCTAGAATACCTATTTTCACCCACGCACGTGACATAATTTTCTCCGAGTAGTGTGGTAGCGAAATAGAGAGAGGGGGGTGGGGTGTGTGGGGGAAAGAGGGAGAAAGAGGAGAGAGATATAAGCTGTCGAGCGAACGAGTCGGCGGCACCAATTATGCAAAGAGAATGGTCTATATAGCTACGATTCCACTATACTTCGAGAACTCTGGATTTCTCGTCCTCCCACTCCTTCCTCCCCTCACCACACCTACATCGCTTTCGCTTACTTTCAGTAAACGAGCGATAAGAAACCAAGTTCACAATTTTACTTAAGCTCCTTTTATACAAAAGATAAGCGCGCGAATGCTCGTGCGTGCATACCCCAACTGGTCCATGTCACAGGACTGTCTCAGCCTCATCCTAACGCCTCTCTCCTCCATTTTTAACAATAAATATACGGACTGCGGATGTCGAACAAATCTCCGAAGAATCGCTACGAAGAGCGGCAATCGACAGTCAGCATCCAACCGCGGCGCATTGGTTGCCTCCAAGAGCAAAGAACGCGGACCGAACGCATTTCCGCCCTGCCATGTGCTTACGTTTATTTCGAGAAGAAAGCACGGGGGGTGGGGGCAAACGCATAAACAATAATAGCACATAATGAAAGGATATGAATGAATGAGTGACGTAAGAAATGTAGGTAGGAGGAACGAACTCGCGCGTACATCCACGCGTGCGCTTTTCCCCAATAATATATATCATTTACCGCTAGTTCCCGTCTTTCCTCCTTCGACGCTCTCCTCCAAGTCCCCTCTCCGCGATCGCGCGCTCTCGCGCTCCCATTCTCCCATGCACACACTCACTCACTCACTCACTCGCTCGCGGGCCGCGCGCGCCTCTAAAAGCAATACAGGCGAGAGAACATAACCAAAAGTGGCTTATACACAGAGCCGTGTGTACTGTGAGCGCAGAAACGAGGAGAAAGCGAGGGGGAAGGAACATCGAGCCGCTCGCGCTCGCCGGGAAAAAGACACGGACAACACGGGCAGATAGTAAGCGCGAGATCAGTGACGGTTGCTGGAGCGCACGTACGCACGCACGCACGCACGCACGCACGCACGCACGCAGGCAGGCAGGCAGGCAAGCAAGCAAGCAAGCAAGCAAGCAAGAAAGCACGTATGCACGCACGCGTTTGTCGGTCGACGGACGAGAGTTAGCAAAAGAGGTAAGAAAGGAGGCTAAGAGAGAGAGAGAGAGAGAGAGAGCGGGAAAAAAGAGAAGAGCTTCAGCGAGTATCAAGCGGTCGCGTGCATGTGAGAACGTCGGCGCCGCCGCTGCCACCACTGCCGTTGACGCTACTACCGACGACGTTGACGACACAACACAACAACAACGACAACAACAAGGACGACGACGACGACGACGACGACGACGACGACGACGACGACGACGACGACGACGACGACGACGACGACGACGACGACGACGACGACGACGACGACGACGACGACGACGACGACGACGACGACGACGACGACGACGACGACGACGACGACGACGACGACGACGACGACGACGACGACGACGACGACGACGACGACGACGACGACGACGACGACGACGACGACGACGACGACGACGACGACGACGACGACGACGACGACGACGACGACGACGACGACGACGACGACGACGACGACGACGACGACGACGACGACGACGACGACGACGACGACGACGACGACGACGACGACGACGACGACGACGACGACGACGACGACGACGACGACGACGACGACGACGACGACGACGACGACGACGACGACGACGACGACGACGACGACGACGACGACGACGACGACGACGACGACGACGACGACGACGACGACGACGACGACGACGACGACGACGACGACGACGACGACGACGACGACGACGACGACGACGACGACGACGACGACGACGACGACGACGACGACGACGACGACGACGACGACGACGACGACGACGACGACGACGACGACGACGACGACGACGACGACGACGACGACGACGACGACGACGACGACGACGACGACGACGACGACGACGACGACGACGACGACGACGACGACGACGACGACGACGACGACGACGACGACGACGACGACGACGACGACGACAACGACAACGACAACGACAACGACAACGACAACAACAAAGGCAATCTAGATAAATAAAACGCATTCTACGTCCTCCCGCTGTTTTTGCAGCTCTCGTACCAACTGCCAAGAACAAGCGGAGTGTGCGCGCGCGTGCCCGTGCGCGTGTACGTGCCCGTGCCCGTGTCCGTGTGCGTGTGCGTGTGCGCGCCGAAGCCCGCGCATCCTAATCCCACGTTCAGTCCTGTGATTTTCTGTGCATGTGACTTGCGCGCTGACGGATCCCTACTTATAAATATATAGAGTGCGCTCTGGAGTGGCGGGAACGACGAGCAAGGACCGCAAGATCCTTTGGAGGTGCGCGCAGATTGACCGTTTGGCCCTGGGGACGAGCCGAGGCGCGAGATGGCGACTACGGACTTATGCGACGGCGACTACTTGGGCGCCTATCGGCGCTTCCTCGAGCACTTCGTCGCCAACGTCTGCAGGGACGATCAGCTGCCGGTGAAGACGAGTCGCAGGGACGTGAGGCTCTGCGAGGTCGTCGGCGAGATCGCCGACATCACCCTCCAGCATCTGAATCAGAGGTGATATTTGTGGACACTGCGATTTTTAACGAGACCCGCTCCTTCTTTTTTATCCCGTAACGAGACGTTACAATATTGCCGCAGTGTTAAGTCAACGTACGAGCGACTTGGTAATTGTCTCTCGACAGTGTCTTTGCCATTTCCATCCGAGCTACGGGACATGCTGATACGCTGCCAATATTTGTTTTGCTTATTTTTTAGGTTATGTTTGCCGTGGCGAGGTTACATCCGAGATTTTTGGCGCACCTGTTTACAAATTTGTAAATATTGTGCTTGGCGACGAGAAGCGTTGCCTAAATAATTGTCGTCGCTAGTTCCCCAATCTCTCGCTCATTATTTACCATTTATTTTGCCTTTATGTTCGCTCGAATCATTATCATCGCCCCTTTGACCAATCAATCCCGTTCGAGGATGATTTGACCACTACTGGGCTTTGCGCGAAATTTCGTAGAAGAGTAATAATAAGTAAATGTTGGCCGTAATTTTCAGAATCGAATGGCCGGATTACATTCGCGAGTAAAATGTGATGATCGATCGTTGCGTTTTTCGAATAAACATTGACAATAAATGTAACTGTCAAGGAGCTTCGAAGGGAAATTTATATTAATATCCAATAATCCAATTTAAGCAATTGAGATCATTTTTACGTCAAATAATTGTCAGCGATTCTTTTAACAAGAGCTCTTTATATTGCTTGGAATAAATTGACGTACCCCCGGGCATTGTTAAAGAAAGCATAAGAAAGAGCATAGAAAGTTAAGGATAAAATGTTTGTACATCAATGTTTCTTTATCTCTTTGGCTCGGCATCGCGAGACGCATTTTCAAGGTTAAATGGCGTATTTGCTTTTGTAATAGCCCCGAGCACGTAAAAATCCAAACTCGTCGTCATTGTGCTAAACTACGCTCTACATCTCGCCGACTCGTTGTTGCCTGACCGACACGGGAACGCGATGATTCGCACAATCGCAATCGCAACTGTAAGAGCCCAAACCCCTTATCTAACTCTCCTTTCTCTCCAATACTATTTCGCCCAATGCTATTTAATCCCTCTGCCCCGCCTACGAACACCTACTTCCGCCTTGGTGGACTTTAATTGATTGTACTTCCGGACTACCGTGTCGAGGAATCTAGGAGGCGGGAAGGTGGGTGGAACAACTGCCACCCAAGGCTCGTGCAAAATGTAAAAAAACTAAGTCGTTGCACCGGGATATGTATACCGTCACGATTACGGGTAAGTGGGTGGAGCGGTGTGAGGGGCACCGGAATCGGATAAATTATTTATGGCGCGTAATGCTGAAAACGTTAGTAGGCCAAAGAGAAGAGTGTTTGTTGTACTTCCTTAATTCGCCAACTTTCCGTGTTGTTACGTACATTGGATCGGCCATCGTGATAAATAATGCACGCGGCTCCTATCGGTCGGCGATCACATGATCTTCCGGGAAACGCTTTGCACCTTTCGAATTTTAAAGATAAGTCACCGTACGAGTTTACTGTAAATTCTCAGGGTTTTCCTTTATTGTTGTTATTATTATTTATTTATTTTTTTTTTTACTAGAGAATTGGGATGGATACTTTTGTTCGAGAAATCGTATTTGGGGATTGCGAATAAATGTGCGAGAGCATTTGTTGATTTTTCTTCTTTTTTTCTTCTTTTTTTCTTCTTTTTTTCTTCTTTTTTTTTTCATATAATCTTTCTTAGCTCACTCTCGTGACTGTATAATGATAGGTTGGTTTAGTATTTCTGCCCCCCCGCAGCATTCGAATCGAGAATGCAAAGTCTGTAGATTATGGTCGCGTTTCGCAAAGTACCTCGTTTCCAAAACACATGGCAAATTGCCGTCGAATAAACATTTTTATCATTATTTTTTAATATTTCATAATTATTCAATGCCTAAAAATATTGGACGTTTGAATTAAGGTTTCGCTTTAATTGACGTTTTCGAAATTAGTCGAGGCAATGGCCATTCCATGCCAGTCTCTACTGCCTCCCTTGCTGCCCCTGTCACCTCCCCCCCCCCACCCAACCATCGTCCCACCGGCCATTCTCGGCAAAAAGCAAAATACTCCGCGAGTAAGGTTTTATTCTCCGTCAGAAAAGGCGCGAAGCCGAAGGTAGGAATCGCGGAGTGTGGGGGTCGAGTATTTAAGCCTGGTGCGTCGGGTGGTGGCAGTGCATGGCGAGAAAGAAGGGGCGGGGCGCGCCTTTCTTGCCCCGGTCCCGTCCTCAGCGACCTCGAGGAAGTCGAGGGAGAGGCGCCTTGGCGGCTTACTTTGAAAGCTCGAGACGCGCGTTCGCGTTGCGATCCGCGGGAGCGCAAAAATTTCGCTGAAATTATTTTCGCATTCGCCGCCGCGTGGCGAGTAATCCTTATTTATTTCTCCGTACTTCACGCTCCACGAGTACCGAGCTTTCGTAACTTTTGTGTCTGGTAGAGCGGGGCTCGCGAAAGTTATAGATCCTTTAGTTTGACGGACATTGTGAAATTCTTCGTTTCATAACTTTTCTGTTTATATTCAGCTGTTGATTGGATTTACCGATGCTTTCTTAATGCATCGCGATAATGGTTGTCGCGCGGGGGGTGGAGGGGGGGGGGTGGCATCGCGGCAACACGCCAGTCAGCCATCCATGTTGTTTTTACTTTAGACGGCCCCTAAATTTCTTTTAAATAACATATTACAAAGTTTCTTGTTGCGTTGTTCTCCGATATTATTAATCGGGCGAGTAGTTTTAAACGTGATAAAATTATTAATAATGGATTTTCTATTCTTATTTTAATAAATTTTATGTTTGTTTTATGGCCTTTCAAATTTTTATGTCTCATTGTAGGCTTGTTGCATACCCTTTGACCTTTCACTTCCCAGAAATTATGTATATAAATTTGCGACACGTACCCAATTTCACTGCAGTCTGCCATATTGAATATATTTATTAATATATTTTTCTATATTTATGCATAATGAATAATTCAAGTATTCATTAAAAGTAACGAATGCAAAATTAATTTTAAAAACTATTTTTTTTTGCTTGGCATAGATTTTTTTATAAGTTCTTTATAATTTTGAATTTTTATCAAAGGCTAACCCGTGATAAAATACAAATTTGAATAGTACTCAAAGTGAAACGCAATCAATTTTCATTTTATAATTTATTATTAATTATTATGTTTTAATTATTATTTATTGTTCTTTATGATAAACTAAAAGTTGACAATTTTATTAATATTATTCATAAAAAGTAATATTAGAATGTTCTTTTTCAAATTTTCATTGCTAGCACTGCATAAGAAATTTATATAAACAACCAATATTCAAGGTTAATTACATTTATTATTAAGCATTAATATTTTTTAAAAAATATAAAAAAATACAAAATATATTTTAAAATATTTTATGTAAAATATTACCTAACAGTTAAATAATGTCATTAAAACTATTTGATCGTTTAATGTGCATCTTAAGGAAAATAAAAATATAGAAATCTGTATTAAAAATATATTGATAATTAGCAGTCGATTATCATGTCAATGCAAATTGGCAGTAAATAACTGGTAGCGGCAGACATTCTATATTTATGGGATTTTTGTAAAGTAACGCTTAGCAATTTGTCCACTCTCTTCATGAGTCATTGTCTAAACATAGATACATAACAATTATTATTATATACGAAGTATAATGCTATATATTGGAGACAAAATTAGTTTACCAAAATTATTTGATCATCTTTGCATTCATACTTTCTTGAAATTTTTGTACCACTATCAGCTACAGAATTTATGACAATACTACCATCGCTCTCTAAATAGGCAGTATTCTGAAAAATAATTATTAATATATTGTATGTGGTGTAAAATTATAGTGCCAATTAAATATAATTAGTTAACCTTCAAAATGACTCCTGAAGGCATTTCCTCTTCAAATTCCTCTTCTATTTTAAATGTCAACTCTAATGTGCGAAACATTGTAATTGATCGAATGGTCCATTTATCATCATCACTTTTATGAATTTCCAATCTAGGACTTGTCATTGACATCATTTTTCTAGCTATGTATGGTACTCCTTAAATATGTGAAGAATACTATTAAATTAATTGTATAGACGCATGTATCAACAATAAGCGGTCATGATAATTGGTATATTGGCATACTAAACGAATGCCTAATTTTTTAATGCACGTACCAACAGCTTTAAAGTACTCGTTCAGATTTTCATTTCGTTCGTGTTGATAATTTCCAACCAGCGAAGACATTTTTATGTTCTTCAAATGTGCTAATATGTATCCAATAAAGACAAGGAACTGATAGAATTTTTTATGCCACTTATAATCTTGTATTATTGTCAAATATCAATAATTTTCCACGCTTGTGACAACTCTAATCCTTAAACATAAATATTGAAAATTAAAAACATTTTCCTTTGAAATAAAATTATAAAAATAAATATACTATATAAAAGTTAATATTACATTTTATGTAATTTATAATTTATATTCATGGATAATTAATGTTTATGCAAATTATGTACATTATAATGTCTTGATGAATTAAAATTTCTTAATAAATTAAAAAAATCATTTAATGTTAGAATATCTTTCCGAGTTGTATTTGTATATTGTTAACCATTAGTCTTTTTATTTTTGCAGAATTTGTCCATCTAGTTTACAAGCATATTTAGTGAAATTGGTAATAGATGAATTTAAAATCCTATTTCAAAAACAGCCGGAGAAGTGTGGCTATCGATTAGAAGATAACAGTAAGTTTTTATTTAAAAAATATTACGTGTATTTACGTAATTGTTTGTGGAATGTGATGTATTATTGAAAGTGATTGTATTGGAAGCGTTAATTTATTATTTTGTTACTATAAAATTTATTTTTCACATTAAAAATTCAGTTAAATCATTAATATTGCTTTAATCATTCACAATGCGAGACATTATGTGTTCTACATTTTCTTACAGCATTCTCGTCCTTAAAGTTGATGCAAGCTGTTACAAATAAAGTTAATGAAATATGTCAGCGTTACTTGGACAATAGTAGATTGGCATTACTGCCTCCACCTCCGTCCATACCAACACCGTTAGCATCTTCGCATGCAATTAGAAATAGAAGAAGAAAAATGGAAGACCGATCTGTAGTTTTACATGATTTGCATACAATGTTCAGTATTAAGGTAAGCATTTAATTTCTTAGATAATTAATAATCATAGTCTGAAATATAATTAATACAATAAATAAAACTGTTGATTTTTGTATGTTTATTTTATATAAAAAACATCCTTTATAAAAAACTGAAACATTTTAGTTTATGCTATTTTACTTCTCATGATTGATGAAGCGATTAATTTATAAAATGTCTTTTTAGAGTGATGCCGTTGTAAATTATTACGCAGTATTTGATGGTCACGCAGGACAAGAAGCTGCTACATATTGTGCAGCCCATCTTCATCAGTATTTAGTTGAAAGTCCATATTATCCTGCGAATATTGAAGTTGCCTTACGCGATGCTTTTCAAACAACAAACAATCGATTTATGGAATGTGACGATGTTAGTAGACTGTTTAATAATAATATTTAATTTGTATCAATCGTATGCTCTTTGGTCGATTAACATTTCTTTATCAATTTGTAGACAAAAAATAGTGGTGCTACTGCTGTATGTGCTTTATTATATGATAAGACTTTGTATATTGCATGGGCCGGAGATTCTCAAGCTGTATTAATAAAGAATGGAAGAGGTATTAATTTGACAATTCCCCACAAGCCAGAGAGACCAGTAAGTTCATAGCTTATTCTTGTTATTGGATTTTAATATTGTAATCATAAAGTATAGCATGCCCATATATTTCACTGTAAATGGCTATACGAGCAGGATCAGATTCAGCGGTTAAAGTAGAGCTTATAGCTACAAATTTCAGGTCGTGATTATTTTGAAATACAAGCCCATTTTTTCCATCGACAATGGGCTTAAAATTAAAAAA